CTGGCCCTTTAAGAAAAAGTAGGCCCACCCCGGGTTTCTGGGGCCCCTTCACCCATTGGGTGAGAAGTCCAATTTTTGAATAATGACGGGCAGACCATTTGTGTGCTACATGCTTGTCCTCCGCCCGCCACCAGACAGGTCTCCTCCTCACCTCGCTTTGTGAACGGGAATCTGAGGCTCAGTGTTGCAACTCCACCTGGAAAGCAGGTGCCTGGCCAAGGAAGGCGGGACCGGAAGTGATGCGAGGACATCCCACCACCCTGGAATTCATCCGCCAGATCTGCCGCCAACGGCCACCGCGTTGGCGGGATTTGAGACCCCCAGAGACCCTGCAGGTTATTGGCCAGGGCTTCGACAGGCCTGCATACAAGGGATGTGCTGATTGGGCTGGGGCGGCGGGCCAATGAGCGGGCCGCATCCTGGCGCCAAAGGCGCTGGGACGTCACACATTCCAGCGGTTGGACTGGGGAGTTCCCTGAGGTTCCAGACCGCTGGCTTCCGCAGACGGTTCGGTGTTCCTGCCGCCCGCCAGCAGACTCTCCCGCCAAGGCCACCTTGCCCAGGGTAATTGTCTCGGCAGAAGCTGGACTTTCGGGTTCTAGCAGCATGAGCTCCCTGAACGAGGACGAGGGATCTGTTTCCAGGGAGGGGTTGGATCCAGAGAGCGGACAGAGGGCCGGCGCAGTAGGCTTTGCTTTGGAGTTGCCGCAGAACAGAGAAGGCGAGGTTGAGCACCAGGGCCAGGGTGAGGGCGAGGGCCAGTTCCCAGACCCCGAGGGCTTCATGGGCGACCAGCATGTGATGGAAGTGGCAGGACAGGTGGCCCAGGGCTGGGAAGGCAGAAGTGGTTCCCCGGCCGACTCTGAGGGCGCCACTTGGGCCTTATTTGGCAATACGGTTGCAATGCCCCTCCCGCAGCGGCTGCCCACCCGAGCTGGCTGGGGTTCCCGCAGAAGCCTGTTCCCAGAGAGCAGGGACAGAGATGTGTCCACTGTGTGGTTGGAGCCAGAGCCAGGTCCCAGGGGTAGAGGCACGAGGGCCCATGGCTGGCTGGGATCGCAGATATCCCCGGGCGTCTCGTTCCACTTCAGGGGGCCTGAAGGAGACTGCGTCCGGGGAAGCCCTAAGCAAGGGGTGAGGTATAGGTCCAAAGCCAGTGTGGATCGCCAGCGTGCCTTCGAGGAAGGCCTGGAGAGCTTGCCGTGGTCTGAGTCTGAGTTGTCTGGCCAGTTCAGTGAGATGCAGCTCACAGGGGGGAGTATTCGTCAGAAAGGAGGGGGCTGGGCCAAACTCGAAAGCCTCAGTGACACACGCAGTCCCTGGAGCAGCTCTGCCAGGGAGAAGTTCCTTCCCTTGCCAGGTCCTTGCCTGTCCTTTGTGCCCCAAACACTGTCTTCGGGCGAGGCAGGGCAGGCTGTTAGGGACCCGGAAGTGTCCTCTGAGGAACCACTCAGTGTCCCCTGGGGAGAGGCTGGGAGTGGGCCCAGCTACCTGCCCTTAGTGGCTGCTGCAGGTGAGCTGCCCAAGGCCACTCCTAGAGGGAACGTGGCCCAGGAGGTGACAGCCCTGGAGAGGGCCACCAAAGTTGTCCTCGAAGGTTTCTTTCATATGCCGGGCCAGAGAGGTTCAGGAGCTCCCCAGGATCCAGCCACCTCCTCTTGGATTGGTGGTGTTCCGCTGTTTGGGACGGACAATAGTCATGCCTTGGCCCCTATTGGAACCAAAGAGTCCAAGCCCACTGGCGCTGGGCAGGAGTCTGTGGCCCAGAGGAACAGTGGGTCCGAGCCAGTGGTGGGAGAAGGAGACGCTGAGGAGCCGGGCAGAGAACCGTTCCCAGAGAGCGAAGTGAGTATGAGGCCATGCTTCTCCCTGCTTCCCACCCTTCTGCCCACCCCTGCCTCTGTGCCTCTGCTCCCTCTGTCTGTCCCTCAGGGTTGTCATTACTTTCAGCAGGGCAGTCTGTAGGACACCACTCTGAGTGTGCTGGGCAACATACTACACAACTGGCAAGATTCCCAGCCTCCTCCACCAGAGAGGGGCTGGATGGAAGGGAAGGCTGGGACAGGTGATTTGGAGGGGACCCCTGCAAAATTTGGGAAACAAAGCTTTAATGGTTAGACCTGTCAGCTGCCTGACTCCTACCTCACAGGTACTCCCCAGCCTCCCCTTGCAGGGGGGCCTGGGCTTCCTCTGCACCCCCACTGTTCTCTCCAGGTCAGCTCTGCCTCCTGGCCCAGGGCTGCCTGAGGGAGGATGTGCTGAGGAGCTCAGTCTCGGAACTGCCTTCTCTCTCCCCTGCCCCACCCCAGCCCCTACACACACAAAAGCACAGACTGTCCCACACTCACCCACATACACACATCCGGAGTTCAAATCAACAGGGACTTTTTGTTTCAGTCTCCGACACAAGGGCAGACACATTCGTTTCCTTGTGGGTATGGTGGAGAATCCGACACTGGCGCTGTGAGCAACAGACACACCCAGGATCCGGCACAGTTGGAGCCCTTGGCGCTGAGCAAAGAAGAAGTCTTGGCCAGTGGGCCCGCACCTTCCAGTGAGTCCCATGAGTTTGCTGGGAGTGGAGGGGACAGAGGACCAGGAAGGAGACATCTGGCTCTCGGTCTGGCTCTGGCTCTGCTAGGGTCTCAGCTTTCTCCCTCTCTCCCTGCCTCGCCTGAGAACTTCTCCCACAGTAAACAGGGTGTCAATAGGGCGGAACCCAAGTCACCTCATCTCCTGTGTGAGATTCATATGCAGGGGTCATTTGTGGCAGTGTCACAAACTGCAACTCCAGACCTAGAGTTTCAGCAGAACAGGGCCTTTTCTGAGAAGTCCTGTTGGGCCACAGGGCTCGTCTCCCACGGGCTGGTTGTGACTGCAACTCTTCAAGTGTCCAACCCAGAGCCACACAGTTTTGGGGACCACAGTCCTAGGTGGGCTACCCCTGGGACACAGGGCAGGGGGGCCCAGAGAGAGGCAGGGAGGTGCTGGACACAACGGGGCCACCTTGTTGCCGGCAGAGGGTGGTGCTGCCTCTCGTTAGAACCTCCGAAGCACTTTCTTCCTCCCTGGAAGCTTTGGAAGCTGGATTTTGTGTTCTTTCCCTCTCAGGTGACCTGGAACCTCCTGAGGAACTCCCAAGACCTGAAAGGCTGGAGCACCCACAGACACAGCAAACACCTCTAGCACGGGCTTTTCCTCGGGTAATGCTTCCTCTAGTTCCTAGAAATGCAGACCAAAATAGTCGATGAGATCAGTGTCTGTGTTAAAGTGACCCGTCCCCCAACCCCAACACCTCACCATCACCACCCCATACCTTATGGAAGGCATGTGCCTCCTTTTCCACTGAGGAGCCAGAACTAGTCTAGGCTCCCAGGTGGGGGGAGGGGCATTGAAGGGAGAGGAGGCCTCAGTGTGCTAATCATTTCCCTTTCTCTTGTGTCTGCTGGCCAGTTGGAAGAGCTCCAGAGAGGACTAAATGCCCTGAGAGAGCAAATTGGTATGAGGACCCTGTAGCCTTTGCCTGGGTCAGGGACATGGGCAGTCTTACCTTGGGGAGGATGAGGGATGCAGACCCTAGGGATGGACATTCCTGTGGGGAGACGAACCCACCAGGCCTGGCCCTTGAGCCTGCTGTGCATGCACAGCCAGTTTTCTGGACAAGGAGGAAAGTGTGGCTCAGAATGCAAGCACACTGTGCCAGCCCCAACCTGTCCTAGAGCTCTCCTTCCCTAGGATGTGTAGAGATGCTGCCTCTCTGATTTTCCCTTCAATACTGCTGGGTATGGCCTCTGTGGGTCTTGTTTGTCTGACAAGTTCTGAGTGGTTCTGATATGCCCACAAGCTTGAGCACTCCTGGGCACATGTTGTCCTGCCTGGCAAACATGTCCACCTTGAATTCAGGTTGTGGGGAAGTGAGTCAGGCCCAGGGCTCCTTGGGTAGGGTTCTGCAGGGGGTTTCTGTTGCAGGGCGAGGGACCTTGTCCCAGGGACAAGGGGGATGGGCTTCAGTATCCCTTCCTCTGGAATGACTGCTTATGCCTCTCTGTGTTTCAGTGGCCATGCAGGACCTGGCCCACCAGTTCCCGAAATCTTGAAGTGAGTATTACACACATCATCCCCTTCCGCACAGTCATGGCTGTTGAAGAGTGCTGTGGGCTGGCTCTGGGTGGACGTTCCTCCCTGATTCTGCTCTGTTTGACAGGTGGAACCTAGCTCCTTCCTGCAAGAAGAGCAGTTGGTACCGTTGTACCCCTTGAGCTGTGGCCAAGCTGGTTCCCTCCTGTTTGCCTTCAGGCAGTGCTTCTGCGCTCCCTTATTTTGCATCCTCCCCATCCTGTTTGTTAGCGTTTTACATTAAAGTTTTTCTGAAATCTTGTGGTCTCTGATAGAAGTGGAGCATGTGGACGTGGGATTCTGGGCTGGGAGGACCTAAAGCTTCTCCATCTCAGACCTCTTTGCACAGCAGTAGGCCTGGCATTCTGTGGTGGGCTTTTTGCATGCAGGGCTTCGGGGCCAGCATGTGATAGGAGCCCTGCAGTCAGGCCACCTGATGCCCTGGGCCTGGGCTCTGGGTGGCTCTGCCTGGCCACATTGACATTTCCTGCCTTTCCCCTATAGCCCCTCTTGTTGCTTTGCCCTGCTGTCATCCGCATTTGAAGTCTTATCACATTTGTCACTGAATTTTCCCTTGCCTTCAGGAACTCATGACCCCCTTCCAGAGTTCAGTCCCTCTACCCATCAGTCATCTGTTCCCCGGTGGGTGTTCCATCTGCCCTACATTGCTGTCTGAACATCCTTGATCTCCCCCAGGGCTTCCCACAGTGGCCTTGTCTGAACCTGTGATTCAACAGGTGTAATAGTGCCCAGTTGAGCTCTTCTCCCTAGTTCCCAGGACCAGTCACTGCGGAGTCCTTCCCTCCCTCTGGGGCCCATGTGCACATGTACACTCACCCAGGAACCTGGGGGATATTTTCCTCCCCTTTAGCTCTCACCTTTGATCCTCAGGTATGAGTCTAGTCAGGTCTTCTCTTGGATTCAATGGAGGGGTGGAGGCAGAAGCCACAGAGCAGGGTCTTCTAGATCAAAGGGGAAGGTTCAGGGATCATGGAGAAAAAAGGGCACACATTGGTCTCCAGTTAAAGGTCAGGGAATCAGTCTTGTGCTAGGTGGTGGCCATGTTCCAGAAGGAGTGGTCACAACCTTCCTGGCCTCCCCAGCCAATGCTCCTCCTGTAGCCTAGTCATCTCCACACCTTCCTGTGGAAAGTAGGCGGCCAGTGTCTATGGTGAAGGCAGTTAGTAGGTCTCACTCTTGTTGAATGGTGCCTTTCAAATACACTTGGACCCGCCTGGGACTCAGGTTTTCATGGCAATGGTAGTTCTGAGCCCCAGTTCAGTCTCCCATCCTCCCCTCTTAGGTCACACAAGGTTGAGTGTGACTCTGTTCAATTTCCCCTCACTGACTGCTGGGAATTGGTTTCTTCCTTCAGCCAGCACCCAGCACCCAGAGCTGTGCGGGCCTGGGACTCAGGACACACTTGTATTTGAGAGGGTTGGGGGCTGGTTCTGCCACACTCCATTCCCAAGAGACTGGTGTTTAATACACAAATGAGGGATGGTGTGGATAGAACACTCAAGGTAGGGTGTGTGTGTGTGTGTGTGTGTGTGTGTGTGTGTGTGAATAAAACTGACCAAGATAACATCCCTTGAGGAGAAACATGTGGTTGGGGGTAAGTCAGTAGTGACTGTGGTCAAGGCCCTTAACACATGGGGGGAGCAAAAGCAAGTGTGGGATGTACCTTTATCAAGGGGGCAGCGTTACATCACCAACACATTGGGGGTGGTGAGTATGCAGAAGTCCCGCCTTCGACAGGCAGGGTGTCCAGAATATGAAAATGTGGGAGTTGGTGGAGGTGGCTGTGGATCATACTTTTTGGACCTATGATGTCTAAGCATTCCTAGAGGCAGGGGGTTAGAAACAGGAAATTTATGTCTCAACAAAAATTGAAAAATTCACAGCAATGTCAAAATTAGACTCTTGAAGAACAAAAAGAAGTCAAGAGAAATCAGAGAGTATGTTGAAACAAGTGAAAAGTGAAGCACAACATGTTGAAATGTATCAGAAGCAGCAAAAGTGGTACCAATGGGGGGAGTTCAGATTCAATAAATACCTACATTAGAAAACAGTGATATAAAAAACCTTAACATTACACCTCGGAGAATTTGAAAAAACAAACTAACCCAAAGGTAGAAGAAAGAAGGCAATTAAAGTTAGAGGAGAAATAAGTAACAGAGTAAAGGAAGAGTGAAGAAACATGAACAAAAGTAAAAGTTAGGTTTTTCCAAAGCTAAGGACAATTCACAAACCCTAAGCAAGGCTAACTAAGAGTAAACTAGAGATGACTGAAATAACACAAATCAGAAATAAAAGAGGAGACATCAAAATGGATGCCTGAGAAATATAAAAGATCATGACAGACCACAATGTGCAATGATATGCCCATACATTGGATAACACAGAGGACATGGTTACATTCCTAGAAGCATACAGTCCACCAAGACTCAATCATAAAGAAATACAAAAAATCTGGATCAGAGCAGACCAAAATGATGATGCATTAGGTCCCAGATTTCCTATGACCCTACAGAGATCAACAAGTGAAGAGCTGTCCCTGAAAAAAGATTAAAATAAAAAAAAAGAAGGAAAAAAAAAGCGAGCTCTTGGAGGGCTCTAGACTCCACTTCAGAAGTCTTAGCAACACAGTGGAACAAAGGCCCTGGGGATGATGACACAAGAAGAGAAGAACAGCTTCATTGGGCCTGTATCATCCCATCTCCCCAGCAGGCATCATTCAGCACCACAGAGAAATCTCCCGGCTAAAAAGAGTTCCTCTCACCAGGAACTCTGCTCACCTCAGCAGGGGAGCACCCCAACAGCCTTCCAGGATGTCACACAAAGGTCTCAGCTCCATCTCTTCCCATGTAGACCAGCAAAGTGGAGTCATATAGGCCCAGCTGGGAACAAGAAGAAACGCAGGGGTCATTATTAGCAGACATGCAATGGGCACAGTCAGGGAGTGACCTGCTTTGCAGACATACTCAGCAGATTTCACTACAGTTGAAGGCAATGGCCAGCCCCAGAACCATGAACCCCCTGCATATTTACCCAGCTTTCCCCCTGAAAGGTATTTGTATTCTCTTTTTTCTAAAAGATTTTATTAATTTATTTTTTGGAGAGGGGAATGGAGCGAGAAAGAGAAGGGGAGAAACATCCATGTGTGGTTGCCACTCAAGCACCCCCTGGGGGATCTGGCCAGCAATCCAGACATGTGTCCTGACAGCAAATCAAACCAGTGACCCTTTGGTTTACAGGCCAGTGCTCAATCCACTGAGCCACACCAGCCAAGACAGTATTTGGATTTTCTGATGCCAGCTTCCCGAGTCCCTTCACATACCCTCCCCTCCACACCTGCCAGAGCTTGGGAGCCATGCTGGGAGCCATGCTGGCAGCCAGCTGGGGGCCTCAGCAGCTACATGAGTGCAGGACGCCAGCCTAGAGGACCGCTGGCAGACCCTCACTGCCATGCCTTTGGTCAGGGATAGCCCTGTCAGCTGTGCACCCGCACACCATCAGGCTGATGCCCAAGTCTGGCCTCCACTGCAGTGTGCATGCCCAGGGGGAGAGTGTGCAGCCACAGGGGAGCACACCAACAGCCAGGGTCTCTGCACCTGCTTGTGGGCCCAGATAAGGCCCTGCCTTCAGTCCCTGGCTGGCACCAGCATACCCAGCTGTCACCAGACCCTCCATTGGTGCACCTGCACACCCCCAGCCCGAACCCCCATCCCCAGCCTCCACTGCAGTGTGCATGCCTACAGACAGAGTGTGCAGGCATGGAAGAGCATGCTGACAGCCAGGGCCTCTGCAGCCACCAGTGAGCCCAGAGTTGGCTCCAGCCATTGCTGCCCACCCTAGTCCCCATCACTATCTGTATCTGCACCTGGCCCCTGCCACTACAAAAGTACCTGCAGCTGGCCCCCACAGTGGACTGTGTGCACAACACTGGCTCTTGCCATCAACACTGCTTGCTCTGGTCCCTAGCCACCACAACTGGAGATGCCACTGAAGACCCCAACAGACCTTGCAGCCACTGCAGATCCCCTGCAGTGCTCAGCCAAGAGCACACATTTGGTGATGCTGTGGACCCCACTGGCTTCAGCTGACGTGGTATCACACACCCCTGCACCCGGTGCTGTTATGTGCCCCCACACTTGGTACCCTGCAGCACAATACACAGGCCATGCCATGCTCCAGTGTGCCCCAACCCACAGGTAAAAGGCTTCCCTTACTGAAGGCAGTCCCTAGAGTCTGGAAGACATGATTGCTCCTTCAACTACACAGAAACCTATGCAAGGCTACCAGAGTCTTGAATGATCTGGGAAAGATGACTCCACTAAAGCAAAGGGTAAACCTCCAGTAAGTAGCCCCAAAGGAATGGCAGTCCAAGGAATGGATCTGACAGGGAATGCAAAATAACGGTTCTAGGGTTTCACAGACAGCTACGAGAGAACACAGATAAGCAATACAATGGTATCGGGAAAACAACAAAAGAACAAAATGAAAGTTCAACCAAGAAACTGAGAATAAGAACCAAGCAGAAATTTGGGGGCTGAACAACACAATGACTGAACCAAACAACTCAACAGAAAGCTTTAACAGCTAGCAGAAGAAGGAATCAGTGACATACTGGGGAATATCCACTGAAATTGTCCAATCAGAGGCACGCAAAGAACAAAGAATGAAAATGAATGGAGAAGCCCTGAGTGGCGTAGCTTAGTGGATTGAGCGTGGGCTGCGAACCAAAGCATCGCAGGTTCGATTCCCAGTCAGGGCACATGCCTGGGTTGCAGGCCACGGCCCCCAGCAACCGCACATTGATGTTTCTCTCTCTCTCCCTCCCTTCCCTGTCTAAAAATAAATAAATAAAATCTTTTTTTAAAAAAGAAAAAATGAATAAAGAAAGATTACAGGGCTTATGGGACACCATCAAGAGAAATGATGAAAGCATTGTCGGAATCCACAAGAAGAGAGGAAGAAAGGGGGAGGAAGTTTATTCAAATAAATAAGGGCCGTAGCCATAATCAGGATGGCAGAGTAGGTAATGTTGTGCTGGCCTTCCCCTACAGCCACAGCACAATTACAACTGATTGATAGAACAGCCACCATTGAGAACCACCTGAAGACTATGTGAACCTAACTCCTGTAACGAAGGTTATCAAAAAGCCACCTGGAGACTGGCAGGAGGGGCAGAGATAGGGAATGGGGGTGGTCCCACAGCCGTGCATGGTGGTTGAGAATTGGGAGGGGTATCTCGGCGGCAGAGGTCTCTCCTGAGGTGCAAGGGGTCCCAGACCCACGCTGGGCTCACCACCCCAGAGTGCCAGTGCCGGGAAGAGGAATCTCCCCAACATCTGGCTGTGAAAATCAGCAGGGACTCCATCCTGGTGAGATGAAGAGCTGCTGTACCTATAGGAGTCCCCTTCAAGGGCAGGGACTCTGAACACAGATCCAATGGCTCAGAAACACTGGTCCTAAGCTCCACAGAGCTTGCAAAGCACCTGTGGGACTTACGGGAGGAACTGGGTCATCTGGCTGCAGCACAAGGGCTGAAAGGGCAGCTTTCTCTCGGACCGAGGTGCGGTCAGGGACTTCCGATCTTTGCTGATGGCTCACAGCCAGCGGGCTAGGCGGAAGTGCTGGCAGGCAGGGATGTTCCTTTGTTGAGCCCTTCCCCCACATGGCTCGCAGGGGAAGATGGGTATCAAATCCGAGTCTCCATTAACTTGACTAACACCGCTCACCCAACCCTGGTAATTCCTTAGGACCGTGCCACACCCAACTCACATGCCTAGACCTCTCTCCATGGCTGTTCCACACAAGTGGACGGCCGCAGCCCGTGCTGCAGAATTTCCCAAAATCTCTCAAAGGTCCACAAACCTCCAGCTTCAGCTTGCCCCGTACACCTCACCAAGTGGCTGCAAGCCTGGCACTAGTGGTGGTCATCCTCGGTTCACAGCATAGCCTCTGCCAGGCACCTTCAAGCCCAGCACCAGCAACTACCAACCACAGAGCACGTTGTAGGTCCTACCTTCTGGCCCTAGGCCAGCACAGGCCATGGCTGACCTTGGCCTGCACTGGACCCCCTCCCAAGATGTCCTGCAGCCAACATGCCCAGTATCAGGCTTCAGAGCACTGCCCCATGAGCTCCACAGACGACACAACCAGAGGGTGCACTGGGTAGGCACCAGAGCCCCACTATAACAAATCCCACTCTGTGAGGTCCTCCCCCACACAACACCTCATCACCTGTAGTATTGGCCATTCATCACAGCCAGTCAACCCGAGGGCCCATCCCAACCACAGATGTGCCAAGAGCAATCAAGGTTCAACTACAACAGGAGGGCACACACCCCCCCCCCCCCAGCAGCACCACTCCCCCCCACCAGATTACAGAAGCAATAAAGGTTGCTGCTCAGCTGACTGTGGCGGACTGACTCTCCCCCGCATTTTCCAGGTCCAGCCGGGCCCACTGGGGCTGCTGGGGGTGGCCATGCGCACTGTACCTGCCTGCTTCCAGGGGCCACCATTAGCGTGACTGCAGGATGCTGCATGTAGCTGTGCTCATACAATGTGGGAATCCTGGTAACTACCACTCCCATGAAGACGGAGAACATGCCAGTAGCTCTCGAGCCCTCCTTTTGCTCCAGGCCAATCACGGGCCCAGCATTAGTCCTCCTGAGGGTTACTGCTGTCTGACCTTTCCAATAAGCATTCGTGTCTTTTGAAAGGGTAACAATTGCTCTTTCCTAAATAACCCCTCCAAAGTTATCAAGGATAAATGACCTGACATGAGAAATTGACTACCTTGGTAAAACACACTCTACATATACACCACTGTAGAAGGCATACGCCTACAATTAGACAAATACCTGTGAAGTGATCAAGCCGTGTAACAGGACCCAATGGAAGAAAAGGTGCATTGCACCTCCAGAAGTCCCCCTTCTGGGAAGGAAGCCGAATGGAAAAGTCCACATCCTGCAGGAGTCCATCACAGGGCATTCTGAGAAAGCCAGCCTGTAGGGACAGATGCACACTGGTGGTTGTTGGGGTCTGGGGGTTGAGAGAAGGGAGGAATTTGGGGGTGAAGAAAATGTTCTATATTTTGGTGGTGGTGGTGACTCTGTGACAATATGCATTTATGAGGACTCAGAAAACCCTGTGTGTAAATTATGCCTCAGTAATCCCCAACTTTAAGTGAAATTGTAAAAAGTACATCACAACTGCATATTTATACTTACTATTTTTTCTGATGATGATATCATAATTCTCTCCTGCAATCTGATCATGTGGAATGTTTTGTTACTTCATTCACCGAAGTTCGATCAACTTTGTATTCCTCAGATGAATCCACTTCAGTCATTGTATATTATGTACTTTCCTTCCTATGCCATGTAGGATCCTGTCTGCTCATATTGTGTTTCTGATTCTTGCATCCATGTCATGAGTGTGTGGTTGACCCACGGTTTTACTTTTTCAAACTGTCTGTGACAGGACTCAGTATGAAGGTTACCTTCTTGGCAAAAGGAATTAAGGATGGTCCCTCCTTTCCTACTTTTTTCCAAGAGTTTGTGTCAAATTGAAAATATTTATGCCTGGGCTGTATGTCAGAACTCAGTGGGGAAGACTGGAGTTTTGTGAAAAGTGTTTTGACCTTCGACATATATTTTTATGGTTATGGAATGATGTAGCTTACCTATTCCTTCCTCAGTCATTTTGTGCAGGTTATGTTTTTCCAAACATTGGTCACCTTTTTCTAGGTTTCAGATTGAAATAAAATGGTCTGTAACATGCTCTTCCTCCCCACATTTTAATTTGGCTTTGCAGATAGGTGCAAGAGAATAGCCATAACACCCATATACACTTCACCTGGATTCGCTGATTATTAATCATTTTTTCACCTCTCTCTCTCTCTCTCTCTCTCTCTCTTTCTCTGTGGTTTGTTAACTCATTTGTGTGTCTCTCTCCGTGGTTTGTCAAGTCATTTGTCTCTCTCTCTCTCTCTCCCTTCCTTCCTCCCTCTCTAATTGTTTTGTTAAGTAATTTAACTTACTTGAAGACATTATGATCAGTACCTCATCCCTAAATATTTGGCATGTATCTTTCTTTAAAAAAAGAGATTTATGTATTTTTACAGTGAGGGGAAGGGAGGGAGAAAGAGAGAAATATCAATGTGTGCTAAAGAAACATTGATTAGTTTCCTCTAGCACACTCCCAACGGGGGACCTGGCCTGCCAGGCATGTGCCCTGACCCGAAATCCAACCAGTGCCCTTTCAATTTGCAGGATGACACTCTACCCACTGAGCAACAACCATTGGGGCATGAATTTCTAAGATTTTATTTATTTATTTTTTTTAGAGAGGGAAGGGAGGGAGAAAGAGAGAGAGAGAGAAACATCAATGTGCGGTTGCTGGGGGGTCACGGCCTGCAACCCAGGCATGTACCCCTGAGAATCGAACCTGCAACACTGGTTCGCAGCCCGCGCTCAAACCACTGAGCCATGCCAGCCAGGGCCTGAAGTGCTTCTTCATCTGGAGGTCCCACCCTCACAAGTGTTGCGCCCGCCACCACAAGGTGGACCCATCTCCCTGCTTTGTGCATGGGTATCTGATGCTCAGTGTTGCGATTCTAGTTGGGAAGAAGGTGCCTGGTCAGAGGAGGCCGGACAGGATATGATGGGAAGAGAGCCCCAGGATACCGGACTCCACTGCCAGATTCAGACCTGCTTCCCGCATCTGATGTAGCGGGAGGCTTCTGGGCCAACCAGAGACCCTCGCCCTATTGGCTAGTGCCTTGAGGCATGTGCATACAAGGGGCATGCTGATTGGCAGCGGGTTTTAGACCAATAAATGGGCTTCAGCCTGGTGTCAAAGGTGAGTGGAACACGCCCATTGTTGCGTGACAAGTCATGCGTTGCCTGTGGCAACCGACACGCAGCTTCCTCAGAAGGCTCAGTGCTCCTGCTGCCAGCCAGCGGACTGTCCCGCCAAGGCCACCTTGACCGGGTAACTGTCTCAGCAGAAGCTGAAGTTTTCACACTTGGCAACATGAGCTCACCCGACGAAGACGAGGGATCTGTATCGAGCGCAGAGGTAGACTCAGAGTGCAGGGAGAGGGCCGGCACAGTAGACCTTCCTTTGGGGTCACCACCGAGCAGCGAGGGTGGGGACAAGGGTGAGGGCGAGGGCGAGGGCGAGGGCGAGGGCGAGGGCGAGGGTGAGGTTGCAGGCGAGGGCGGGTTCCCACACCCCGAGGGCTTCCTGGCCCAACAGCATGTGATGGAAGCAGGAGGGCTAGAGCAGCAGGACTGCAAAGGCCAAATGGGATCTCTGGCTGACTTAGAGGGGACACTCGAGGTCTCTAATGGGAATTCCAGAGGGGCTGACTGAGGGAGATACCCAGGGTGTTCACAGGAGCCCCTCCCAAGAGCCCTGTGACAGGGGAGTGTCCACCATGTGGTTGGACCCAGAGCCTGCTCCCAGTGGTACAGGCATGGTGACCTATGGCTTGGAGGGACTGCAGTTGGCCTCTGGCGCCCCGTTCCACCTCAGAGAGCCTAAGGGAGGCCTGTCCTGGGAAAGCTCCCCAAAATGTGCTAGGTGTACGTCGAAAGCCAGTGGTAGTTACCAGCATCCATTTGAGGAAGGGGCAGATTTCTCCCTGTGGCCCGTCTCCAAGTCACCGGATGAGGTCAGTGAGATGCGCCTGATAAGGTTGATCATTTCTCAGGATGAAGGAGGCCAGGCCAAACCCACCAGCTCCAATGACACACCCGGTCACTCAAGAACCGACATCAGGCAGAAGTTCCTCCTCATGCGGGGCCCTTGCCTGTCCACTCCACAACGACTCACTTCAGGTGTGGAAAGGCAGGGTATTGATGATCCAGAAGTGCCCTCTAAGAAACCAGAGAGTATGATCAGGGGGAAGGCTGAGGGCAGGCCCAGCTACCTGCCCTTAGTTGCTGTTGCAGGTGGCCTGCCCAAGGCCAATCCAAGGAAAGTGTCCAAGCAGAAGACATCTCAGTGGCGGGCCATAGAAGTTGCTCCTGGGAGTTTCTTTCCTCCCTGGTGGCAGAGAGACTCAGGAGGTCTGGAGGATCCAGCCACCTTTCCCCCGATCTCCGATGTGCTGCTGCCTGGGAGGGGCAGGAGGCATTCTTTGGTCCCTTTTGAAACCAAAGAGTCCAAGCCCACTGGCACAGGGCCAAAGTCAATGACATGGAGGAGGAGGGTGTCCAGGCCTGTGGTGGGAGAAGAAGATAAGGAAGAGAAAAAAGATGGATTCCCAGAGAGCCAAGTGAGTATCAGGCCATGCTCCTCCCTGGTTCCCATCCTTCTCCTGCCCAGCCCTGCACATCTTTACCTATGTGTCCTCTGTCTGTTACTCGGAGGTTGTTATTGGGTGCCCTCCATCATTAGAATGCCCGATCAGGGTGGTTTTAGAATGGCAAACCTTAAGACAGCACTGCTTGTGTCGTGGGCAACATACTGCACAAATGGTCAGTTTCCTAGCCTCATCCACCAGAGAGTGGCCAAGATGGCAGGCATGGCTGGGACAGTGGATTAGGATCAGGGACACTTTCAAAGTTTGGGCTGCAAAAGTTAGGTATATGGATGCATCAGCTGCCTGACTCCTACCTCATAGGTACTCCCCAGCCTCCCTTGCAGGGGGCCTGCTTTCTCTGCACCCCACTGTTCTCTCCAGCTCAGCTCTGCCTCCTGGCCCAGGGCTGCCTGAGGGAGGATGTGCTGAGGAGCTCAGTCTCGGAACTGCCTTTCCTCTCCCCTGCCCCACCCCAGCCCCTACACACACATAAGCACACACAAGCCCACACTCACCCATGTGTACACATCCTGAGTTCAAATCAATGGGGACTTTTTGTTTCAGTCTCTGACACAAGGGCAGAGACTACCCTTTCCTTGTGGGCATCATGGACCAAGAGGCACTGGCACCATGAACAACAGACACACCCAGGATCTGGCACACTCAGAGCCCTTGGCACTGCTTGGGGAAGAAGTCTTGGCCAGTGGGCCCGCACCTTCCAGTGAGTCCCATGAGTTTGCTGGGAGTGGAGAGGACAGAAGACAAGGAGGGAAATGTCTGCCTCTGCCTCTACCTATGGCTGTGGCTCTGCCATGACCTCAGCCTTCTCCCTCCCTCCCTCCCTAGCCAGACAGTTTCTCCTATAGAAAACAGGGTGTCAATAGGCCTGGACCCAAGTCACCTCATCTCCTGTGTGAGATTTATGTGCAGGGGTCATTTGTGGCAGTGTCGCAAACTGCAACTCCAGACCTTGAGTTTCAGCAGAACAGGGCCTTTTCTGATAAGTCCTGTTGGGCCACAGGGCCTCGTCTCCCAGGGGCTGGTTGTGACTGCAGCTCTGCAAGTGTCCAACCCAGAGCCACACACAGTTTTGGGGGCCACAGTCCTGGGTGGGCTGCCCCTGGGACACAGGGAAGGGGGCCCAGAGAGAAACGTGGAGGTACTGGGTAGGGCAGGGGCAACTTTCTGCCAGCAGAGGGAGATGCTGCCTCACCTTAGACTCTGCTAAGCCCTTTCCTCCCTGGGAGCTTTGGAAGCTGTATTTTGTGTTCTTTCCCTCTCAGGTGATCTTGACCTTCTTGAAGAACCTCGAAGACCAAAAAGGTTGCAAAAACCACAGCCACAGCAACCACTTGGAGCAGAGGGTTGTCCTTGGGTAATGCTTCCTCTGGCTCCTAGAAATGCAGGCCCAACCTAGACTATGGGATCTGTCTCTGGGTTAGTGACTCATCTCCCACCCCAAACTCCTCACCACCACCACCCCGTACCTCACGGAGGGTACATGCCTCCTTTTCCACTGAGGAGCCCTAGCAGATCTTGCCCCCTAGATGGGAAGAAGGGGTGTCCAGAGGAGAGGAGGCCTGAGTATGCTAATCAT